GCCACCACCAGAACGCCTGGGCAGGGTGGAGAGAGAAGGGCAGAGGCCCCTGCTTGCCCTGTGGCCCCCAGGTCTGAGTGCTCATGGGCACGCACACCTGCCCCATGCAGGGCAGCAGGGCAGCGGGCAGCAGGTGCTCAGCAGGCACTTGGAGAGGAAACTAGAGCTCAGGGCGCAGCCTCCAGCGCTTCAGCGCCCCGGACAGCGCCGAGGCTCCACCCCACAGGCTGCTGGAGCAAGGGTGTCAGGGCCTGACAGCTGAGAGTTCTGCCTTGCACCTGGCCCCACCCCACTTCCCAGGCAGTGATGTGATGGTGAACCACACCTTGAGAGGTGTCCACCTCTGGGCCTGGCCTGGACGAAGCTGGAGGACACCTGGAGGCCAGAGGCAGGCAGGCCTAGGCGGTATCCGGGGTCTGCACAGGTCCTCTGACAAATGGCCACCCACGATCTTCTCCCCGAGTCCTCTGTCTTATTCAGGCTGGCAATGCACTCAGTAGAATGCTGCTGTTGCGCCAACAGCAGAAAGGGGTGAAGTTCTAGCCAGTGAGATGTCAGCAGAAGTGCTTGGTGTACCTTCAGGGACAGATACACCAGGGAGCTGACTCACGGGAAGGGGGGGGGGGGGGGTAGCAGCACCTGTGTGCTTGTTCTTTCCCCCTCTCCTTCTTCCTGGCCAAATGCACATGTGATGGCTGGAGCACAAGCAGCCATACTGGGCCATGAGGTGACAGTGAGAATGGGAGCCAACACTAGGAGGGTGGGAAAATAATATAGAAACTGGGTCCCTGATGTTGCCTGGCACCTTACCTGCCTGCAGCTCTAAGGAATTCTAAAGGGCAAGCAGCCAAGTGGGCTCAAATGTCCCCCCAGCAAGGTGGATGACCACTCCAGCATCCTACAAGACATTTCATAGGAAAGTCTCCCAGGTTTTAGTTTGGTAATGATTTCAGAAAGGAAGAGAGAGGGAGAGAAAGATAGAAACATCAATGCTGAGAGAGAATCATTGATCGGCTGCCTCCTGAATGCAACCCAGGCATGTGCCCTGCCCGGGAATAGAACTGTCACCTCCTGGTTCATAGGTCCACGCTCAACTGCTGAGCCACACCAGCCAGGCTGCCTCTCACTATTGGTGTTTCTATCTCTCTCTCCCTTTCCCTTCCTCACTGAAATCACTGCAAATACATTTTTTAAAAAGTTGGCAGAATTTAATGGGCACAGATTGCTCAGGTCCCGAAGCCATGGGGAAAAAAAAGAAAAAGCCCTTTGAGGCTGCTATTGATAACTTGTCTCTCTCTAGGTGGTGGGTTCAACACTAAAAATACCCTCTTCTGACAACAGGGCGCCAAGCGCTGTCACGTTGCACAGGAGATTGGAAAGTTGTGTGGGAAGGATCAGCTTGGGCCAAGTGAGGGGCAGGGCCGGGCTGCAGTGGCCACCGCCCTGTGCTGCCTCCAGGTTGCAGCCTCCCCAGCAATCCACAGAAAGGAGTTGGGGTGACAGGAAGAGAAGTGAGCCTCAGGCCATGCTCCCGGGGGGCAAAGGCCAGCTCAGCAATGCTGGGCCCCAGCATTCTTGGATGCCCAGCCCTGCTGGAGAGCAGGAGGCAGCTCTGGCCTCTGGCCACAGACAGAGATAAGAAACCTGCTGAGAAGGTAAGAGTGGAGTTGGGGAAAGGGCAGTGGGTTATGGGCAGGGCTGGCATCGCTGATCTGCTCTGCTGTATAGGCCCTGAGCAGGCTGTTCCACTCTCTGAGCCTCAGTTTCCCCATCTGAAGTGGGGAGCAATTGCCTCTGCTCAGCCTCCTTGAGGATGATGGATGTGAATGTGCTTTCTCAGGGCAAAGCCCCGGCATGCATTTCCATGTGGCTGGAATCTCTGAACCCAGCAGCCAGACCTCAGCCCACAGGGTTCGCTGGCTGCCTTCCAGGAAGGGGGGGGGGGGGGCAGCCATAGGCCATTATAGTCCCTGATTCTGATAGGAAGGAATTGTGACAAGGAGGCTCCAATCATCCCTGCCTCGGGAGTCACAGACTGGCAGGACTATGGGGTTCACTCTTGAGGCTGGCCTGGTCTGAGAGCAGTTCTGGTGGAATAGTCACCCCAAAATGATTAGACCAGCATGTCTCAAGCTCTGAGGATTACATATGGATGGGTGCCTGGGGTCCTGAGAGGACTCTGGGACCCTAGCCAGCCCCAATGCTCTGGATGGAAGGGGACACCGTGATGACACCCCCCCAACTATGTAGCAGGTCATCAGTCAGTTGATATCATGACCCATGAGGCCCTAAGGTCCCAGCCACCTGGAGCACCAGGCATCTTGTTCAGGTGCGGATCCCGGTCTGGGATGTGTCGGGGCTACTTCCGCAGAGCAGGGCCAGTCGTCTCCGCATCTGCAAAGTGGGAATGGTGACACAGTGTCTACCGGTCGGCTGCTGCAAACGTGAACCTGGATGAGGCATAGGAATCACAGGCCCTGGATAATGTCCGCTGCGACTGTTGTCATGTCATTACTGCATGGCCCAAACCTCTGTCTCCTTTTCCGCTCCTGTCCTTCGTCCCATTCCTGCAGAATTTTGCTTCTGGAATTAGCCTCTTCATTTAGCAAAGATTATTAAAATGTTCCTAAGTTGGTCCTAAGGCACCTTCTCTCCAGCCTCCGCCTGCGGGAGGGTTCACACCCAATCCTGGCCTCGGGGCCAGGAAGAGGCAGCAGTGGCTGGGAACCCAGCATATTGCTTCTGTTTAAAGGGGGTAGCATGAGGTGATCCGTGGGCAGACTGGAGGCTCACTGGACCCCAGCCTCCTCTGGCCTCAGCTTACTCACCTCCAAGGTCATGGCCAAGGTTGGGCTGATAAATTGAGCCTCTCTAGGGTTGGCCCCCTTTTTTTTTCTTAAATATATTTTTTATTGATTTCAGGAAGGAAAGGAAAGTGAGAGAGAGACATAGAAACATCATAATGACAGAGAATCGATGATTGGCTGCCTTCTGCATGCCCCACAGTGGGGATGGAGCCTACAACCCTGGCATGTACCCTGACTGGGAATCAAACTGTGACCTCCTAGTTCATAGGTTGACGCTCAACCACTGAGCCACACTGGCTGGGCTAAGGCCTGTCCTTTGAATGAGGGTCAGAGACTTAGGGACTAGTCAGGGTGAGGGGTGTGGAGGGTGGTGGTTTTCCAGGACTGCCGGGTCAGGGCCAGGCCTGCAAGGGAAGCTGCAAGCATCTCCCTGGCAACTGTCCTTGTCCTTGTCCGGGCTTGGGGGCCGGCATGCACTCCATACCCTTCCCTCTCCTGCTGCAGTCTGTTTCTTCAAGGGTAACCATGGAAACACCTTTGTTTCTGAGGCCCAACCCCCCCTCCCTCTGATTCCTCTCAGCAGCAGAGGCTGGGAGAGATTCTTCTCCAGTTCTGACTGACAGTGGGCCCACCAGTGACCTGGCCCTGCCTGGGGATGGAGTGACTGGCTTTCTGGCCCCAGACATGCTGCCTGAGCTCCACCCTTGCTACAGAGGCCCTGCCGCTCACTTACACCCTACTGTTTACAGGGACCACAGTGTCTGCCACTGAGGCCTCTCCTGACCCCTTGTCCCTTGTCCTGCTGGGGCCAACATGTGTGTCATTCCCCACTGCCGGACATGGAGACACACAGGCTGAGGAGGGAGTGCAGAGGCCCAACAGGGGCTGGCTTTGTGGGACAGGTAGCCGGGAACAGGGCCTTCAGGATGCGCTCTGTGACCGCAGGGACCAGCAGTGCCCTGGAGGTCTATTCACTGGCTTTAGCAGAAAGGAAACGGTAGCTGGCCAGATAACGGAAAAGTCTAGAAAACAGCATACTTAAGGTGCAGCGGGTCCCAGGTGACTCGGGGTATTTGGTCTTGCTTTCTCCTGGGTTGGCTTCATTCTCAGGTGCTCTCTCCATTCATGGTGACAAGATGCTTCAGTAGCCCCATACTTATCGGTACATCTTTCTGTCACTTCCCTCAATTCTGGGAAGGTCTGTGAGCAGATGGGAGAGTCTCAGCCATCCCTCTGACCTGAACTCTCTGATCTCCAGCAAAAGCCTCAGAGCTGACCCTCCTTGGCCAGTACAGGTCACCTGCTCACCCCTGAGCCAGCCTGGTTCGCGTTACTCCACCCCCCCCCCCCCCCAAATCAGACCCAAGACAAATGGACTAGGGTGGGAGACACTGATTTGCAAAGGAAAATTGCCGTGCTCATAAGCTCAAGGCCACACAGCTAGTAAGGATGCAAGCTGGGGTCTCACTCCAGAGCTCTTGGGCTTAAATATGGAGCACTGCAGGTCAGGAACTCCCAAAGATTTCAAACAGGAAAGGGAATGGTCAGGAATGCAGCCGGGGGAAATAGGCGCCGGGTTTTGCTGAGCAGTGAAGGGCATGCCAAGGAGTTTGGGCGGTGGGGAGGCCTGCAAGATGCTTGCGTTATGGGAGGCACCGCCCGCCCTAGGAGGTTGGGAGCCTTGGGCACAGAGCCCGCGCCAGCCACCTGACTCGCTGTTTGTAAACTCAGCTCTCCAGGCCTCGCCCCTGCCTACCTCTCGCCCGCCCTCTTCGGGTCAATATCTGCATAACCCCGCCTCTTCATGCTATGACTGGCTGTCCGCGCCGTCACTCCTATGTATGGGCGGGGCCTTCGAGGAGCGTAGACAGTGTCACTCCAGCGAAGTGATTAGTATAGTCCCGCCTCCCAGTGCTGCTCTCGGGTCGAGCGCTGATTGGGCCGGCGGCGGTCTACGCAGTGGCGCGGGGCGCCTCAAGTGGCTGGCGCGGGCTGTCAGTCTGCGGGGCGGCTGGCCGCACTTCCGCCTCGGTGTCAGTGGGTCGCGCGGGCCTGCGGGGCGGGGCGGGCAGCGAGGCTAGGCGGCCGCCGGGCGGACCGCGGTCCAGGTGAGTGACCCAGCCCAGACCCCGGCCCGGACCCCGCATCGCCAGGAACGGCTCCCGGCACCGGGCGGTCGGGCGGCAGGGAGGCCGGACCGGGCCCGGGTAGCCGGAGCCCGGCGCCCACCCCTCGGTGAGCAGGCCCCGGCCCTGCAGTCTCGGCCTCGAGGGAACTTGGGAGGAAAGTTGGTGCCGGTGGCGGGGCGTTGGGCCTGGGTCCCGGGCGGCAACCGAGACCCTGCGTCGCCAGGCAACTGTGGCCCCAGCCGGACCTGCCGCCGCAACCGGAAGTCGGGTTCGGGGTGAACTCGGAGGCCCGGGCGCCTGCGGGCCTCTGCGCGGTCTGGGTCATCAGTACGGTGGGCTCGCCGGCCGGGGCGTTTGGGCCCCTGGCTTCTCTCCATGTTTGAGGTGAGAAGTCGGTCCCGCTGCGGGAGACCACCCCTCCCCTGGGGTGACCACCTGTGGCGGCTTCCCCAAGGTTTGTCCCTGTGTCCCCCCATCCTGCTCTGCCTTATTTTGTTTGTCCACCGGAGCAGACGCCGCGGGCTGTGGAAGGCTCTTACCTGACGCGCATGTTAGCTAGACTAGACAGGGCATCAGATTTTAAAAAGTCCCTTCCTTCAGCTACAGCGCGGAAACCAGGAGAGTAGGACTTACACTTGGTAAGTTGTAAGCGCAGATGGAGGCCGGTTTTCAAAGGTTCCTTCCTGCTCTATAGTTAAATTCAACAGTGGGTCAAAACCCGGTGGTTGACTTTATAAGTTGGTGAGCCCAGAAGCTAGGTGGTCCCTTGGTTCAGGTCGCTCCTGAGTGTGTGTGTGTGTGGGGGTAGTGTGGGGGGGACACACCTCTCAGGGAGCTGTGCTCAGGTTTTTGGGTTTTTATCCTGAAGCAGCTCTCGCTTTAGTCCCCATCCGGACATGGGTCGCATTGTCTGTGTCCCCGGAGATGACAGTTCACAGCTAGAGAGCAGAGGACCCTCCTGACTGTGCTGGGCTGGCCATCTCCCTGGCCTCGGTTCCTTTCTCTGTGACAGTACACCCCTGTGGGCTGATCAGAGAAGAGGATGTAATGATTGTCCCCTGCAGTCTCTGGCACATGGAAGGTGCTCCAAATAGTTAGTTCCTTTCCCTGGCTGAAGACAGGAAACTTACTGGCTACACTTCCTCCTTGACTGGGGCTGGTGTTGTCATTTAAAACATGACTGTGAGTGATGAGTAAACAGACGGATCTCCTTAGTCAAATTTACCTCTCCTGTTTGCCTCTGTGCCCTCCTGTTGGCAGCTCTTACCTGAGGGGAGGGTGCCATGGAGCAGTTGTGCCCGGGTGGCTGGAAACACCTATAGTTGCTTCATCCACGTGGTCTTCACCACAGCCTGCGAGACAGTGCTAACAGGAGCCTCCTTCACTCGTGTGGAAGCTGAGGGGCAGAGAGGCTGAGTGACTTACCTGCATCCCACGGCAGTGAGCTATGGAGCAGAGAGGCAGTCTGGCTCCAGTTCACACTCTTTGTTGTTGCTGTTAATACTCACCGGAGTCGGGGAGAGAAATACCGATGTGAGAGAGACACATTGATGGCCGGAGCTCCAGTGGTGCAGTCGGTGACATATACACACACACACAAAAATTCAGTTTAGAAGTGAAGTCAAATAAGTCTTTGTTAGGCAGATGTGCATTCTTTGAATGTTACCGTGATGCTTTATAGCAATGTTACAGTGATACTGTATAATAATGATGACTATAAAAAGACCCCTGGGCCTATGGGGACCTGCTGTCACTCAGCTGAGGCTCTGGACAGTATGTGGACAGTGTGGGTGTGGCTGTCTTCTGGTCACTGCTGTACTTCCTGCTGGAAGGCTGACTTCATAGAGTTTGTTTGTTTATTTTTTATTCCTCACCTGAGGATATTTTTCCATTGATTTTTAGAGAGAGGGAAAGACACAGAGAAACATTGATGTGAGAGAAACACATTGACTGGTTGCTTCCTGCACGAGGCCCAACCAGGGCCCAGGCTGGGGAGGAGCCTGCACCCGAGGCATTTGACTGGAATTGAACCTGGGACCCTTCAATCCACAGGCTGATGCTCTATTCATTGAGCCAAACAGACTAGGGTGGTAGAGTTTAGCACTAACAAGGGCAAGGCTTGATTCTGAAACTCGGTGTACTTCAAGGTTGATCTTTAGCTTATCGAGACTGAACAGAAGTTAGTATTTGAACATGACTTAAGTATTAAGAAATACTTAAATCCTAAGTGTTAATATTTCAGGGATTAGTTCGACACTTTAAATGCAGTTTCCATGGATAGTGGTTAATTTGTATCTCTGCTATAATTTTATGTTTTCAAAGTGTTTTTGATGGTAAATCTCAGGTGTTGGCCCTGCCAGGGTCAGGCCCACGGTGGACACATGGTGTGGAGAACCCACCCATGCCCGCAGCTCTCCTTAATGACCATGTCGTTAAACGGTCACCTAGCCATGCCCATGAACGTCATGGTGCTTCTCTCCTTTTCTACCCACGTTCAGAAAAGAACTTAGGGCCAAAGCCAGTTTGGCTCAGCGGTAGAGCGTCGGTCTGCAGACTGAAAGGTTCCAGGTTCAATTCCGGTCAAGGCATGTACCTTGGTTGCGGGCACATCCCCGGTAGCGGTGTGTGCAGGAGGCAGCTGGTCGATGTTTTTCTCTCATCGACGTTTCTAGCTCTCTATCTCTCTCCCTTTCTCTCTGTTAAAAAATCAATAAAATGTATTTAAAAAGAAAATAAAAGAGCTTAGGGTCCATGGCAAATCTCAGAGCGTGTTGCGCTGTCACGGGGACCTGCTGGTGACACAAGTACTCTACCTGTGCCCTGGGCTAAACTGCAGCACGCCTTCCGGAAGGACTGAGCAGCAGGGCCGCTTGTAGCCTTTTGCCTGGTGTTTGCGTCTGTCTCTCCTTGCTTTCTCTGCGTGTCAGGGGCATCTTGCGGGGTTGTTTTGAGACATGGACTCTGGGATTGTGCTGACTGAGATAGCCCTGTCCGGCAGCGGGTCTGAGAAGGGCAGGGGGAAGGTGCGCTTCTGCTGACCTGGGCATCTATCTCCCTCCCACGGCTCTGTCGAGTCACGCCGGCATGGGGACCCCTGAGTGGCTCTTGGTTGGGCAGACTGTCTGACCTGAGCTGGTTCCTTGACAAGAGGGTGGAAGCGCTGGCCTTAGAAGCTTGCTCCAGCTGGTGTCAGGTGCTTGGGGAGAAATGGTCTGCGGATGGTTTGTGGGAAGTTGTCCTGACTTCGGGTTCCAGAGAGGACGATGGCAGCCAGCGGGGAGGGCAGGCTGTGACACACCGCTGGGACTGTGTGTCCCACTGAACAGACAAAGGCTGCTCCCAGGCTGAGAGAAAAGTCACTGTCATCTGGCACCTGTACTCTGGGCTTGGCTGGAAAGTGACTTCCACTAGAGCCTTGGTTTCAGGGTGGCTGTGTCTGATGTTCCCGCAGCAGCTTTCAGGACTGCAGTGGTGGCACATGTTAACAGGCACCTGTCTGACACCCAAGAGGGGCCAGGACCACTTGTGCTGAGCTCGGGGTGAGTTAGGCTCCGAGTGCCGGGATTCCACAGATAAATTAGCGAGGGAATGTCACACCACCCGAGGAGCAGGCAGTGAGGAGGGAGGGCATTGTGGTTCCCGTGCAGATGCACACCCAGTGTTCCACGTTCTGTTTGTAAGGCAGTTCTGCATGCATAGAGTTGACTGCCGATGCTCATCAGGGTTCACCCGGCTGCTGGGAACCTCATAAGAAGTGCAGCGTTGGCCCGGCTGGTGTGGCTCAGTGGTTGAGCATCGACCCATGAACCAGGAGGTTACCAGTTTGATTCCTAGTCAGGACATGATTCCCCATGGGAGGCATGCAGGAGGCAGCCTATCATGATTCTCTCTCATCAGTGATGTGTGTGTGTGTGTGTCTCCCTCTCCCTTCCTTTCTGAGATCAATAAAAATAAAAATATATTAAAAAAGAAAGAAGTGCAGCTTTGGGAGAGAGGGCCAGGGATGTGCAGCATATCCCACCAGGTTGCTGTACCTCGGCCATGCTTGGACACCCTGGTGGGGGTCTTAACCCTATTCTGGGTCAGCGATCCCTTGGAGAACCTAGTAGAGAGTCTGAGTCATCTTCCTGGGGAAAAACGAACACATTTTCCCTTTTTTATTTTTCTCTTTTTTGGGGGAGGGATTTTCCTGACCTCGGTTTAAACCCCACGCCCATTAGTGCTCAGGAAGTGTAGTTGGGAGTGAGCAGGCAGGTGTCATGTTAGGATGACCAGTTTCTCAGCACAGTGAAACTGGTTCAGAGGCTGAGCAGGTGGAACTCGTATGAGAACTGACAAGGAAGGACCTGGGGTGGGAGAGGCAGCAGGTGAAAGGGCGAGGGTCTCAGACTGGATTCTGTCAGATGGAGATGGCATCCGAAGCATCTGGCCTGGTTGCATAGATGCTTCAGGCAGGGCAGCGGGGGATCTGGGGGTAAGGGTAGAAGCGTGGGCATACTCCATGCCTCCCCCCTCCCCCAGGGCTTTCCACTGCCCCTAGGGCTGCAATACTGGGTCTTCCAGTTGTCCAGCCACCACCTGCTGGTCCAGGGCTCTGGTTCTGCTCTCGGAAGTGGACAAGTAGACAGCAGTGGCCCTACTGATGGTCTGATTCCTCTGATTGCTCCGCTGCTCTTAGGGCGCATGGTGCCTGGGTGGGCGGGGCTGCTGCCCTGAGCTTCCTTCCTCTCCCTGCTTTGGACCTGCTCTCTCTGCTCTAGGACAGGATGACGAGATTCATCGACACAAGCACTGCACGGGAGAGCCTCCAGTTTGCCTTGTCGTGGTTTCGAAGCGCTTCGTTCTGGATTGCTCTGGGTTTATGTCCCTGTTCCTTCAAGTATCGAGTGTGTCTCTGGCACTCACTGTTTTTTTTTTTTTGTTTGTTTTTTTAATCAATCTTTATTGTTCATATTGTTACAAAGGTTCCTCGTTTCTTCCCCCCTCCACCAGGTTCCCACCCAACCCTCCGCCCCCTCCCCATCCCCCATTGTCCTCATTTATAGGTGCAGTTTATGTTCAGTCTCTTCCTCCCTCCCTTTCCCCGATAGTAAATCCCTTTTCAGATAGTAAATCAGTTACTTAGCATTTTCTCATATCAATAATACCACCACATGCCCAATGATACATTTCACACAAAAGACATTTCCAAATAGGTCAACCAGCCTCATCCAGGCCCCACCCAAGGCACTCAAAGATCAACACCCCAGCCCTATACTAACTCAACACATCCAGATCTAAGCCTTCATCACTTGATTCAGCAGACCCTCAAGTTCCCACAAAAGTTTCCAGCCATGTCTGAGAGGCCGCCGTGGGGCAGGGGCAGGCGAGAAGCGAGCTGTTCC